CAATTTAGTACTTTTCTTGCACTTTTAGTACACATTTTCAAAATAACCTTTTTGTCACAAATTTCAAAATTCCAACTACATCCGTTCAGGCAAACCAAACAAACTTTCATACATCAAACTTACTTGCCAACGTCGATTCTCTTCTCTTGTCTTAGGCTGTAGTATCCATTACGAACTTGAAATACCAAATTTGAAACAATTCCGGTAAATAATGTCGCTAAAATCATCCAAATACCGAATATCGGGGGCACCGTTATATCGGGGCTATGCGAAGACGTGGATCTACATGTCTAATACATAATACACATGTGAGTAAATTTTTATCAACTTACTTCATTTCGTTCGGAAGCTAGAGTGATTGATAAATCGACATAGAATTTTATGCCGATCAAGACTATATATACTTTGTGGGGTCTAAAATGTATATTTCGAGGTGTTACAAACGGAATGACAAACTTAATATACCCTCCATACTATGGTGGAGGGTCTTTTTGATATGGTTAGATGGTTAGATAATCCCTTTAAACTGGATCGTAGAAAGTCAATATATTCTACACAATTATTTGTCATAAATTCTAAATTCTACTACAGGGTGAGATGAAAAAATTGCAACCAACTTCAGACTGCTGTCATTTCTAAGCCACTCGTCCGACAGCTGTTAAAATTATTCCAGTGACAGCTTAATATATTGTTTACAATCGTACAAAAGCATTTTGGTGAGAATTTTCCAGAAAAAAAGTTATTCGTGATGGAATTCAAGCGTGATAATGTGATTTCATTATATTTGGCTGGAAAACCACAGTTGGCTATCGTTAGAGCACACCAGCATTTAAATGTGAATAAATCTTTTGTGTCTCGTACCATCGCTCGTTACCGTGATGCTGGCCCGACGTCAAGGAAGTGGACGAATGAGAACATCTACATCACCAGAAATGGTTCGAAAAGTAAAGAAGCGACTTGATCGACCGAAAAATGGCTCGTGAGCTGACCATATCGCAATATTCCATTCGGCAAATATTGAAAAATGAGCTCCGGGTAAAGCCGTTGACATTCCAAAAAGTGCAAGAACCTACACTGCAACAGAAAGAAAATCTACTCAAAAGAGCTAAAGAGTTGCTTCGCTTGGCGAAAGTGGCGAACTACCGAATTTGGTTTGCACCGATGGGAAAACAGTCATTGTCCAGCATAACAAACAAAATTATCGTGTTTACCTGCCAAAGAGGTCAGCTGAAAATGTGCACCTTCAGTTGGTCACCAGAACTCAAGCGTTGGCCATGGTGATTGTGTGGATCGCCATAACAGCTGATGGTCGCTCTCCGCTCGTATTAATCGACCGTGGCATCAGAATAAATGCCGAATATTATCGCGAAAATATTCTGGAGCAGAGGGCTGCAATGCGTATGATCGAGTAGGCTTGATCACACACACTGGAAATACAATCAAACTCAATCAGTCGGTCAAATGTAACATGTTCATTCGAGTAGCTCAAGCCAAATGAAAAAGTTGTGATCGAACATGTATTGATCGAAGTTTTGTGTTCGCAATCAAACAGCTCACATGAATGTTTTGTTTACGAACTAATGTTGAACAATACATACCGAAACGATCATCTCGGATGAGCATGATCGGTTTGATTTTTTTTGAAGGGTGAGTGATTTGATTCGATTAAATACGAAAGATCGAATCTGAGCGTAATCATGTATTGTAGTTTTGGTATGGTTATCAATACTAGAAGCAGTACCCATTGAAGAAATCGAAACAAATGGTATTTATTAAATAACGATTTTTTATTTCATTTGGGCTTATAGTATACCAGACTTCAGTGGCTTATTTCTAAAAAAGAACACATTATTTTTAAAAAAAATAACAAAAAATCAGACTTCAGTCACTTGTTTGTAAAAAAGGAACACATTTTTTCAAAAAAAAAAAAAAAAATAATAATAATAATAACAAAAAAATGTATATCAGTTGCTTATTTCTACAAAAGGAACATATATCAGTCTTCAGTATTTAGTTGCAATTTTTGTTAAAAAAAAAAAAAAAAAACATTAAACTGTCAACAGCTCTCAGCTCAATACTTGTCCTTTTCTCTGTAATATAGTTCGTCAAAATTACCTGCGCAGGCTTATTTGGATGAATAAACAATGACGCTGAGCGAACTCGATTCAAAGAAAACAATCACGGTTGTGATTGCTCATTTACATTCATGTGTTCGATCAACTCATGTTGCTGAACACATCAAACCGTCTCGAACGCTCATGTTTGATTGGAAGTGATGTGATTCAAACTGAGCGTTCGATTCGATCCGATCCAAAAACGGTCAATTCATTCAGATCAAACAAAACGACTGCATCAACAAAAATCATGTAAGAAACCGAGTGTGGTTGAATTTTTGCATACTCGTTGCAGCCCTCTGTTCTGGAGGCTGTATTAAAGCCTTGGGCACGCAAGCATTTTGGCCGCAGAACTTGGACAGTCCAACAGGACTCAGCACCCGCCACCCAAGAATGGTTACAAAATGAGGTTCCTCGCTTCACTTCCAGCGCACAATTGCCACCAAAATCTCCGGATACCAATCGGTTGGACTATTGTGTCTGGAGTATTTTGGGAAGCAAGGTTGGCACTAAAACATACCAAAGTGTCGATCACCTCAACCAAGCGCTTTGCCGGAAATGGGCCCAAAATACCGCACAATTCGAACAAATCTAAATTTTATCTAAAATTAATAAAAAGATAAATGAAATAAAATAAAATTAAAAAAAAAAAATAAATAAAAATTATGGCGTTTGACTTAGTTGCAGTTTTTATACCCTACACCACAAGGTGGTCAGGGTATTATGTCTTTGTGCATTTGTTTGTAACAGGCAAAAGGAAACGAGATAGACCCGCAGTTCCTTTTGATGATCTGCATAGAATCACATTCTGAGTCGATTTATGCATGTCCGTCCGTCCGTCTGCCCGTCTGTCCGTCTGTCCGTCTGTCCATGTATTATTGTAAACAAAGTACAGTTCGCATTTATTGTCCTATCCAGAGGAAATTTTGCACAAATCATTTGTTTTGCCCAAGGACAAACCCTATTGAAATCGAAGATAATCGGTCAAAATTTATATATAGCTGCCATATATATTTTCGTCCGATTTGCCTTTTATTGTGCACCAAACGTGTAATATCAGTCCGAATTGTATGGAATTTTGCACGTACGATCAGATTGGACCTGAAAATAAGTATGCCAAATTTGATCGAAATCGGTTCAGATATAGCTATAGCTCCCATATATATTGTTCATCCGATTTGCTATTTTTGTCCTCCGCAGCCGTAATATGCACCCTGTAACAACAATATTTGGGGAAATATATCAAATACAGCTCAGAAATACATTTGCTAAATTTTATCGAGATCGTTCAGATTTGGATATAGCTCCCATATATAACTTCGTCCGATTTACCTTTGATTGGACACCAAACGTCAAATTGGATGAAATTTGGCACTTACAACCGAATTGAGTCTAGAAGCTAGTATGTCAAATTTGGTGAAGATCGGTTCAGATATAGCTATAGCTCCCATATATAGCGTTCATCCGATTTGTCATATTTGTTACCCACAGCCGTAATATGCACTCCAACGAGTGCATACCCACGATATTCAGGGAAATATATCAAATACAGCTCAGAAATATCTTTGCCAAATTTTATCGAGATCGGTTCCGATTTGGATATAGCTTCCATATATATTTTTATCCGATTTCAAATTAATTGTGCACCAAATGGGCAAGACAAGTCCGAATTTAAAAGATACAAATGCTTCGGCATATTTAGTTCTTTGAACTTTAAATTATAATTATAATCATAGAGTGTATGATTGAATTCTCCCATAAAAATTTTTAATTGTTATGCGTAGTTCTACTAAATTAGCAAAGTTGTGTAGGGTATCATAAAGTCGGCCCCGTCCGACTTTAATACTGTCTTTACTGGTTTTTTTTTCACCCAGTAATTTTCACATGTAGTCCATACATTTTGAATGTAGTTTTTTAAGAACTATAAAGCCTGGATATATAATTTATTTTGAGACTTATACTGAAATTTTGTGTAGAATATTTCTTCTTTTGGCACTTTTTGCCTAAAATGAAATTTTATGTTAAATTCAGACGTCAACTCGAAAAAAGGTCATCGAAAATTTAAACACAAGTTTTTTGGATTTTTTTTGTGGCAACTATATTTTCATGATATATAATGGGAATAGAGATTTCATTAACTTGGTGACTTATAGTGAAACTTGATGAAAAATAACTTGGTATTTGATGTCGTCCTTCTAAAATGAAGTTTTGCAGAAGAAATTCCAGCGAATTTGGAAAAAGTCCTAAATTTGTCGAAAATAATCACACAATTTTCACTTGTAATATGTAGATTTGAAATGTAATTTTCTGAAAAACTATTCAACTTATATGTATGGTTTATTCTGAGACTTATAGTGAAATTTCGTGTAGAATATTTCTTCTTCTAACACTTTCTACCTAAAACGAAATACTATCTTATTTTCAGGCGTGAATTCCCAAAAAGTCTGAGAAAAAATTGCTAAAAAATTAGGGAATTTTGTCGCGATTTTTCGTTTTCACAAAAGGACCAAAAAGACCCCATTGTTGACTCGCGTGAGGGTTAACATTACTAACCAAAATAATCCCAGTTTTATTTTCTGCAATATTGCAAAGAGACTATACAGCTAAAATGTAAGGATTTCAAGGAATCTTTATTCGAAAATTTCAGCAAAAGTGGAGGAGTGTGGGAACCCATGTCTCCTGTTTTTTATTCCACTTTCATAGTCTACTGAGTTTTTTTGGTTTTGAGTTGCACTGTTTTATATACCCTTTGTAGCCATAAGGCAAAATGTATGCTGGAGGTATTTTTTTTAAAAAGTTCTGTTAGATTTTTTTTTAATTTTTTGTATTATTTATTTTTAACAACCTTTTAACAATTTTTACATTTTACAAAAAGAACAAAACAACTCATGAAATTCTAATATCAATTGGCAGATAAATATCCTCATCATAATCTCCAGTTCTATCCTTATTCGGCTGCCCAATGGGTCCATGGTGGGAAGGTGTTGGCGGTACTGGATTGTAAATTGGTTGTTTCATTGCGGAGAGGGGATCATCCACGGTCTGGGATATTAAAATTCCTTGATTATTTCCAGTAGTCGGCTGGTTGGGTATTGGATTAATCACTTGAGGCCATTGATTTTGTGGTGGATAGGGATTATCTTGTACTGGATATTGCGCTGAGGGGAAAGATGGAGGTGGTAGATTTTCCGGTGGTGTCTGAACAATTAATGGCGGTTGGCTGTTGCCACCCTTGTGTGGTGGTCCCTTGGTTTCGGAGGGATGCTGAGCAAACACTGGATGTTCTTTCATTTTATTATGGCCCGGTGGTCCACCACCATTTTGAAATGGCCTACCATTTGGCATGCCTTTGCCATTACCCTTACCGTTGCCTTTTCCCTGGGCCAGTACACCAGAATTGGCGAAACATGTCAGCAGAAGAATTGCAATAATTTTCACGAATTTGTATTTTGCCATATCAAGAGGCTGAGATGTTAAGTTTGAGAAAAACAAACTCGTAATGATTTCAGTTCGACAGCTACACTAAATCTGTTGAACGTAGTGATTTCGATTTTAAAACAGCCGTGCGCTTAATTCGCTAGGGCCTGAAATCGTCGAGAGAGTTAATTCATTTTTTATGCCAATGCGATGTGATATGGGTAATTCCATGTTGGGATTGGTTATACAGCATCTGACATGATGTGATAATTTTATCCACTGAGAAATCCGAAACGAATTTAAGAAACATATCTCAACCTCAGATATCAAGAGTGACCTTAATGTCAGATTTCAGGACTTCAGCCCTTTAATTCATCCCATTACTGAATTTAGAACCATTTAGTACAATTAAAGTACGTATATCGAAAATCAGATCCTTTTCTCAACCGCGGACAACAACAGTGACATCCATATTAAATGTCAGGATTCCAAGTCTATTCCTTCACCTAATACCAAATTTAATACTTTTCGAACAATCATAGTACGCATTTCCAAAAACACATCCATATCTCAATCTCGGATACCAACAGTGACCTCAGTATCAAATCATCAAATCAAATTGAGTATTCCAGCCCTATCCCTTTACCCAATACCAAGTTTAGTACCATTTAGTACTTTTCGTACAATTATAGTACGTATTCCAAAAAACTCCATATCTCAATCCCAGACACCAATAGAGGCCTCAATATCAAATTTCAGGATTCAAGGTCTATAACTTCACCCAATACCTGTATTGAGTAATTTAGTAATTTTAATCAATTTAGTAATTTAGTACCATTTAGTACTTTTCGTAAAATTATTGCAGTCATTTCCGAAACCACTTTCACATTTCCAGGCAAGACATGAACAGCGACTCTAATACCAAATTTCATATTTCAAGCACTATCTGTTCACACAATACCAAACTGTACCAAACATAGTACCATTCCATACTTTTCGTACAATTATAGGAGCTATTTCCGAACACACCTCCTAATCTCAACCTTAAAAGTACGACTTCCAATGTTCCTGCATACCCCAATCCTACACTCCCACAGTAATCCCAATTCCAAATTTTAGAATTCCACCTCAGTTGGTTCGTCCAAATACCAATTGTACTTTAGTTAGTACATTTTAGTACATAAAGGTGCAAATTTCCAAAATTACTTACATATCCCTATCCTATACTCCGACACTAATCTTATTTACTCACTCAATTGGTTTACCCCAATCTAAATAATTTAGTAACAAATTTAGTACCATTTAGTACACTTGAGTACATTTTTTTTATAGCTACCTACATCATACAGTCCAATGCAAATCTTATTTTTAAATTTCCGGTTTTCAACTCTACCGGTTCATGCAAAATTTAAATTGTACCAAATTTAGTACCACTTAGTACAAATAAGTACGAATTTCTAAAAATACTCTCTCATTTCTCAGACCTAGAATGCAAAAGTAATCTTATTTCTAAATTTTAAGATTCCAACAGTACCGGTTCGCTCAAAATTTAAACACATCCAAAACTGTACCAAATTTAGTACCATTTAGTACTCATAAGTGCGAATTTACAAAACTATCTACATTCCTCAGTCCTACAATGCAATAGCAATATTATTTCTAACTTTCAGAATTTCAGCTCTGTCGGTTCTCCCAAAATTTAAATTGTTACCAAATATAGTACAATTTAGTACACATTAGTTTGAATTTGCAAAACTACCTAGATTCTTCAGTGCTGAAATGTAATAGCGATCTTTTTTCGAAATTTCAGGATTCCTAGTCTACCGCCTCACTCAAAATTTAAATTGTAACAAATTTAGTACCATTTAGTACACATAAGTACGATTTATGTTACTCTACCTACGTACCAAAATTGCAGCTCTACCGGTTTACCCAAATCGAAATTGTACCAAAGTAGTAGTTTAAGTGTACATAAGTACAAATTTTGTAAAACTTCCTCCATATTCCAATCCCAGACTACGCCTGAAATTTTAATTTCAAAATTTATTGTTTCATCCGTTCCTCCAAATTTAAATTGTACTAAATTTAGTACCAGTTAGCACACTTAAGTACAATTCTCGAAAACTTCTTTCATATCGCAATCCTACACTCCGCCAGTAATGTTAATTTCAAATTTCAGAATTCCAGTTCCATCCAAATTCAAAATGTACTAAATTTAGTACCGTTTAATACTTTGCGTATGCATGAGTACCAACTTCCAAAACTACTTCTTTACATCCCCTCTACTCCTTCTACCACATTTCAAGTTTTTATCTCTAACTGTTCACATGATACGAAATGGTACCAATTGTAGTGCATAAACGCGGTGTTATAAAACACATTGCGTCGGATAGTGCCTTAAGCAGAAAAAACATTGTAAATTATTTTTCGAAATAATTATAAAACTCAATCTCTCTCCTGAGTGACATTTCGGACACTGTTAAAATCATATGTTTTGTACACGATATGTTATAAATCTTCCCTTCATAGAATGCCTTTACAATCATATTTGGGGTGTCGTATTTTACTACAAAAATTCTGACATTTATTTATTTATTTATTTTTTAAGGAAAATCTCATACTTTTTTGTTCTTCATCTAACGGCAATATCATATGGAACGACTCATATAAATACAATAAACTTAAATCTCAAAACGTAATAATTAATACCGGTTTGTTATTTAAGATTGTTAAATATAAAAGTAAATATTCATGAGATGAGAAGCGCCGAGAGAGAGAGAGAGAGAGGTGTTCTGATGATGATGAGATAACTGCATGAATCAATGTATCAATAATGATTCTCACTCCCTCAATGTCAACTGGCAAACACACGATACACATACATACTATATATATATGGTTTTATACGTAAGTACATAGGCTTTTTAACAATTACAAAACATTATGGCTTTTGTAATTAAAGGTTCTCACCCATATTTCCTATGATGACCTTAACATTAAATGTAAGGAAGTGGTATTTTATTTCGGTATATAAATACCATGGCTTCGACAGTCCACCCATGACATTTAAATTGAGATGTATCTATCGAAACTAGTTCACAACATTTGGTTTGTGATTGCATTTTATTGCATATCCCAGTGGCAGTTGATCCAGTGCAATTATCGTTTGTTTGGTGCTGAGCAGTTTTTTGTAGAAGAACGTCGTTCGGGGCGTTCTTATGCTGATATTGCACGAATTGTGAATCCCCATCAATATGCCAATGTGGGAGTGCGACCCTATCCCGGCCAACCATTTTGGCCACATGGAGGATGAGAAAGAGAAATTGGAAGAAAGAAAAGAAATAAGAGATGAAGAATAACGAGGGATAAAATGACAGAAATATGAAATGCTTAAAATGGAAAAATATTCGATAATATTCAAGAATATGAATAAAAATAGTAATATAATAAAATAAATAAATAAATTTTCTGATTTTTAGCTTTTTTTCGACCTTTATTTTAAATAATGACAAAACAGATAACAGCAACGCAAGGTCGATGTCGGTACTTGGCGAAATGTTGTATTTTTTTTTTTGTTATATGTTTAAGTATTGTTCCTGATGATGTCTTCCATCGGAGGACGAAATATCGAAAATAATAAATAAATAATATATATAAAAAAAAAACAAAGACTTCGATCTCAATTTCATTAAACTTATATTTGAAATAAAATAAATAAATAATGTTAACGATAATAAATAATAACAAAAAACAGGTTAAAAAGAATCAGTCGGTATATGTGACAGATGTATATGATTATTTAAATATATTGTGACTTCTGTTATGATTATTCAAATTGTAGGCCCTCTATGGAGTGGGTTCCGAAGGAATGGCCAATTTCTATTTGTCGATTTTGTATCGGACCTTAATAAATATGATATAAACATTGCGACGTGCCAGGTTTGGACTATATTGGTTAGTTCCTTTACTTTATATGAGATATAGATAAAGATAAAGTTAAAATGTGCGCGAGGTACCGGATATAGTCGACCGATGTATTCCATTTTCATACTTCGTCCAATACAGATAAAAATGTTGGTGTGGGAAAAATTACAAGAAAATCGAACATTTATATCCAATTTTATGCCAAATCATAAATTTCAATAAACTACATATTCATATCAGATTCCTGGTTAAGAGATATATATTATTGTCGAACTTAGATCGAGTTCGGAGATGAGCAATATCGGTCCACTCCTTCTGGAAAAAAATTTGCTGCACAGAAAGAGAAAGGATGATCTGATTTTGCTCCAACTTTGCGAATCTCAATATTTGCATCAGTGCTACGTCAGGTACGAAAATGGACAATATCTATCTACTCCATCAAGTACCTCCCCCACCAAGGGTACAAATTTTGAATAATTATAACTCTTATAAAATATGACGTAAGAGTCCGATTGTTTTAAAATTACACATAACACAATATTTTTATTAATCCAAGGTCTGGTGCGAAGGTGGAATGTATCGGTCCACTCCTTCTGGTACCTCTCCCATAAAGGACCAATATTTTAAATAACAAAAACTATTATAAAATCCGGAATAAGCATCCGATTATCTTCATATTTCACACATCCCATTACTTTTACCAAGACAAGATTTGCTGTGAAGATCCATTCCTTCTGGTATCTCCCCCACAAAGGGTGGACATTTTGAAAAGCCATGAAGGTTATAAAACACGAAGTTAACATCCGATTCCATTCAGACTCGGTGTTTTGAAGATGATAGATACAAGCCCTTCTGGTACCTCACCCACAAAGGGTGACAATTTCCAATACTTATTTCTGTCATAACTTGCGAAACAAGTCGGCGATTCTTTACAACTTGCTATATCTAAATATTTCTCTTAACCAGAAATCTGATATGAATGTGTAATGTGTCGGAATTTATGATTTCGCATAAAATTGAATATAAATGTTCGATTTCCTTCAAATTTCGCACATACCAATATTTTTATCTGTATTAAATGAAGTACGAAAATTGAGTACTTCGGTCCGCTATATCTGTTACCTCACACATATTTCGACATTTTCCAACATCTCATATAAAGTATAGGAAGTAGTCGATATAGTCCAAATCTGGCACGTTGTAATATTTATATCAGTCTTAGCTTAGATATGAATTGGTCAATATTGCTCAACTGCTTCGGAACCTCTCCCATAGAGGGTCAACAATTTCAATAATCATAAGACAAGTCAAAATATATTTAAATAATTGAACATTAGCTGAGGTTATACATACATCTTTGGCAAAATCGACTGATAGTTTTTAGCCTGTCGATACTAAAATTGAATGATTCCAAAAAGCAGGTCGAAGTTTCTCGGGAGTTGTTATATAACGGAGAAAATTATAATGACTAATAAAAATCGAATTTAATATTTGCTTCTTATAATATAATCTTTTTATAACCTTTCATTTTTTTTTTTAAAAGATAACGGCCTATCATATTTTAATGACAATGAAATGCATATCCATTTCCCAAAGCCAGTTATTGATAATCCAAGTTCCTCTGTTTGTCACTTCTCTATTTTTTCTCCAATAACCTTTGTTGTTTTTTTTTGTTATTATCTCTCTGTATTCTCAGTAGTACTCATTTCTTCAATAGTCCAATAGTAAATTAAATAGTAAGAACAAGAATGAAAAAAGAGTTAAAATAACCGGACTTCTTTAAATCAGCAAATAAACAAATAAATAAATTAAATAGAAAACAAACAGAACCAGTAGGCGAGTTTTGTTGTTGTTATTGTTTTCTTAACACTGATATCGCTCACACGTTTTAGATATCCATTTGAATTAATACGGTAATTTTAGAATACCTACAGTAGTGGACAAAACAATTTGCGCTTTTACTTATTTCTCTTGGGAACGGAAAGGGTATAGGTAAAATTGTGAAGTTTTGGGCGAGAGTCACTCTTGGTCCGAAGGGGCCAGATAAGTCTGGGTTTTTGGAAACTCGTACTAGAACGGTACGTAAAGTATTAAAAGGTACTAAATATAGTACCCTTTGTATTTGAGAAAGCAGTAGAGCTAGAATTCTTAAATTTAGAATGTGGGCCACTAATGGAGGTTTTTGAAAATTCGCATCATATGTGTACGAAAAATACTAAAATGCACTACACTCGGTACTATTTCGTATCATATGGGCATGTTTATAGCTAAAAACTTGAAAATTGAAATGGGAATCAATGTTAAGGAGTAAAGTCGATGTTAGGATGTAGTTTTAGAAGAGTGTACTCATGTATACAAAAAGTACTACATTTAATACAAATTGGATTTGGAGGAATAAATGGAGCTGGAATTCTGAAATTTGAATTTAACATTACTGGTGGATAGTTAGACATGGGGGAAGTTTTCGAATTTTGTATTTATGGGTACGAAAAGTACTAAATGGTTCTAAATTTGGTACAATTTCGATTTGGGTGAATCGATAGAACTGGAATGCTGAAATTTGGAAATAAAATGAATATTGCATTGAAGGGCTAAGATATGTAGGTAGTTTTTGAAATTCGTATTTGTCTGAACTAAATTGTACTAAGCTTGTTTTTATACCCTCCACCATACTATGGAGAGTATATTAACTTTGTCATACCGTTTGTAACTCCTTGAAATACTCATGTCAGACCCAACAAAGTAAATATATTCTGGATCAGCGTAAAATTCTAAGTCGATTTGGCGATGTCCGTCCGTCTGTCTGTCTGTTAGATGGCTAAAATTTTGCACACATGCATTATGCAGGTTAGGTTCGTAAATGGGCCATGTAGGTCCACGTCTTCGTATAGCCCCCATATAACGGTACCTCCCTATATTCGCTATTTTGATGATATTAGAGACATTATTCACCGGAATTGTTTCAAATTTGTTATTTGAAGTTCGAAAAGGATTCTACACCCTAACACAGAAAATTGTCTGTGCAAGTCCACGTCTTCGTATAGCCTCCATATAACGGTACCTCCCGATATTCGGTATTTTGACGATTTTAGCGACATTATTCACCGGAATTGTTTCAAATTTGGTATTTAAAGTTCGAAATGGATGCTACACCCTAAGACATAAAATTGTCTGTGCAGGTCCACGTCTTCGTATAGCCCCCATATAACAGTACCTCCCGATATTCGGTATTTTGATGATTTTTGCGACATTATTCACTGGAATTGTTTCAAATTTGTTATTTGAAGTTCGAAATGGATGCTACACCCTAAGACATAAAATTGTCTGTGCAAGTCCACGTCTTCGTATAGCCTCCATATAACGGTACCTCCCGATATTCGGTATTTTGACGATTTTAGCGACATTATTCACCGGAATTGTTTCAAATTTGGTATTTAAAGTTCGAAATATATGCTACACCCTAAGACATAAAATTGTCTGAGCAGGTCCACGTCTTCGTATAGCTCCCATATAGTGGTACCTCCTGATATTCTGTATTTCGATGATTTTAGCGACATTATTCACTGGAATTGTTTCAAATTTGGAATTTAAAGTTCGAAATGGATGCTACACCCTAAGACAGAAAGTTGTCTGTGGGGTTTCACTTCTTCGTATAGCGCCCATATAACGGTACCTCCCTATATTCGGTATTTTGATGATTTTAGCGACATTATTCACTGGAATTGTTTCAAGTTTGTTATTTAAAGTTCGAAATAGATGCTACACCCTAAGACATAAAATTGTCTGTGCAGGTCCACGTCTTCGTATAGCCTCCACATAACGGTACCTCCCGATATTCGGTATTTGGACGATTTTAGCGACATTATTCACCGGAATTGTTTCAAATTACGTATTTATTTTTCGTTATGGGAACTACAGTCTGTGACAGAAAATTGTCTATGCAGGTCTAGGTCTTCGAATAGGCCCCATATATCAGTACCTCCCGATATTCGGTATTTTGACGATTTTAGGTGTAATACCCACCGAAATTATTTGAGATGTGGTATTTGAAGTTCGTAATGGATGCTATAGCCTGTGACAGAAAATTGTCTATGCAGGTAAAAGTCTTCGCACAGCTCCGATATAACGGTATCTCCCTATATACGATATTTTAATGATTTTAGCCACATTATTCACCGTTTATTTCAATTTTCGAATTTGAATATGATGAACAATGCCAATGTAGGTCCTCGTCGTATATACCCCAATATAACGGCTATATTTGGTATTTTTAAAATTTTAACAGAATTTTTAATTTTGTTTTTAAAAATTTCCAAATTCTTTCCAAATGGTGGAGGCTGCTTTTTAACAATGCCTATGCAGGTCCACGTCGTATAGACCCCAATATAACGGCTATATTTGGTATTCTCAAAATTTTAATAGAATTTTTTAAGGATTCTATTTTTTGAAAATTTCGAAATTCGTTTTAAATGGTGGAGGCTGCTTTTTAACTTGTTTTAACTTTGAAAATGCTGTTGTCCAGTGTAATATTATTTAGCACTCTGCAATAGTGTCGTTTCACAAATTATGGTATGCCGTTAGCTATTGAACTCGCATGGTATGCACATTTATTGTTTTACCCCCTTTCTTTCTGGCTTCTAAGCAGCTCCCTTCCCTTTGACACACACGCACACGTCCGTTTAATATATCATTTACTCATATATTTATCAACATTGACTACTGTATATTTGCACATTGATATGTCACAATAGATAAATGGATGTGCTACAGACGAAGTCAATGTGTGTGGGGGGGGGGGGGGAGGGTAGGGAACGCAAGTAAACAACCGACACATTGTTGTAGCGACGGCAGCAGCAGCAGCACACAACACGCCAACAGTAGTAATCAGAAGTAGTATGTATGTTTGTATGTATGTACAATGTCTATCGGTTCGATCGATTCAACGACTATGGGCGACTAGGCCGGCATTGACGTCGCTGCTCGTAATCGTAGCAGAAATGAAATAGTCAGCCAGCCAACCAGCCACAACTCTCCAACGAAGACCTCCAAAAGAGTTCTATTTGTTTAGGCAGAATAGTAGAACATTGGAACGGGAAACGATCGCCGCCAAATGAACTGAACTGCAGAAAGCAACCCGAAATTGGGATACGCAACGGGTATTGTATTTTGTTTGCTGGTCATTGCTACGACGCGGTTGCAACGATTGGTTGGGTGGTCGGTCTAGTTGGACGCTTGATAATTTATCGTCGCTCAGGCATTGTGTTTTGTCGTCCCCCATTCTGATTGCATTTCATTTGGGGTGGGGGCTTGTAACACTTGTTGAACACATTGCTACTGTTCTGTCTGTCGCCCATTTGAAATCGAAAGTGTGTAGGACGCGTGTAACAAACACAGTGTCTCCGTCGCAGCCGTCAATATCGATTAAACGGTTACAAGTCGTCAATGTGTTAAGTTGTACGTAATTTTTATGTTTTAATTAAAAAAAAAAATAATAGAAATTAAAATCTTTGAATGAAAAAATATTTTTAAAAATGAAAAAATATGGAATTCTAAAAAAAAATAAATAAATTTTGTGTTTTTTAGTAAGTTTATTTTTTTAACAAAACAAAAATATCAACAAACACCAAAAATACAATTGCAAAGAAACATGTGCTACTACGGAAAATAATGTTTTTTTTTTTTTTGGTGAAAAAATTCTGTTCCATACAGGTGACTAAAGATAAATGCAATTCGTTTAAGTGAAAAAATGTATCGAGAATATTCAGTGTTTACCCTAGTGTTAACTTGTTGATAACAAAAAAAAAAAAAAAAAAAAAAAAATACAGTAAAGAAAGTCTTAAAGGCGGGCGGGGCCGACTTTATGATACCCTACACCACTTTGCTAATATAGAACAGCTCCGCATGACAATTAATAGTTACGCTATGATTATAATTATAATTATAATTATAATTATAATTTAAAGTTCAAAGAACTAAATATGCCGAAGCATTTGTATCTTTTAAATTCGGACTTGTATTGCCCATTTGGTGCACAATTAATTTGAAATCGGATAAAGATATATATATGGGAGCTATATCCAAATCTGAACCGATCTCGATTAAAGTTGGCAAATATATTTCTGAGCTGTATTTGATATATTTCCCCAAATAATGTTGTTACATAGTGCATATTACGGCTGCGGAGGACAAAAATAACAAATCGGATGAACTATTTATATGGAAGCTGTAGCTATATCTGAACCGATTTCGATCAAATTTGGCATACTAGCTTTTACACTCTATTCGATCGTAAGTTCCAAATTCCATACCATTTGGACAAATATTAGACGTTTGATGTACAATAAAAGGTAAATCGGACGAAGTTATATATGGAAGCTATATCCAAATCGGAACCGATCTCAATAAAATTTAGCAAAGGTATTTCTGAGCTGTATTTGACATATATTTCCCCAAATATTGCTGTTACAGAGTGCATATTACGGCTGCGGAGAACAAAAATAACAAATCGGATGAACAATATATATGGGAGCTATAGCTATATCTCAACCGATTTCGATCAAATTTGACATACTAGCTTCTACACTCAATTCGGTCGTAAGTGCCAAATTTCATCCGATTTGGACAAATATTAGACGTTTGGTACACAATAAAAGGTAAATCGGACGAAGCTATATATGGGAACTATATCCAAATCGGAACCGATCTCAATAAAATTTAGCAAAGGTATTTCTGAGCTGTATTTGACATATATTTCCCCAAATATTGCTGTTACAGAGTGCATATTACGGCTGCGGAGGACAAAAATAACAAATCGGATGAACAATATATATGGGAGCTATAGCTATATCTGAACCGATTTCGATAAAATTTGGCATACTAGCTTCTACAGTCCATTCGTTCGTAAGTGCCAAATTCCATCCCATTTGGATAAATATCAGACGTTTGGTGCCCAATAAAAGGTAAATCGGACGAAGTTATATATGGGAGCTATATCCAAATCGGAACCGATCTCGATAAAATTTGGCAAATATATTTCTAAGCTGTATTTAATACATATCCCTGAATATCGTTGTTACAGAGTGCATATTACAGCTGCGGAGGACAAAAATGACAAATCGGATGAACAATATATATGGGAGCTATAGCTATATCTGAACTGATTTCGATCAAATTTGGCATACTTATTTCCAGGCCTAATTTGGTTGTATGTGCAAAATTCCACACTATTCGGGCTGATATTACACGTTTGTTGCACAACAAAAAGGCAAATCGGACGAAGATATATATGGGAGCTATATCTAAATGTTGGCCGATTATCTCCAATTTCAATAGAGTTCGTCCTTGGGCCAAACAAATGATTTGTGCAAAATTTCATCTGGATGGGGAAATAAATGCGAATTGTACAATGTTTACAAAAATACATGGACAGACGGACATACATAAATCGACTCAGTGATTCTATGCAGATCATCAAAAGAAACTATGGGTCTATTTCGTTTCCTTTTGCCTGTTACAAAAAAATGCACAAAGACATAATACCCTGACCACCTTGTGGTGTAGGGTATAAAAAAGTTAAAAAGCATTAAGTTCGGCCGGGCCGAACTTTGAATACCCTCCAGCATTTGGAAGCTGGATCTGTATAGACAATTTTCTGTCACAGACTGTAGTTCCCATTACGAACTTCAAATACCAAATTTGAAACAATTCCGGTGAATAATGTCGCTAAAATCATCAAAGTGCCGAATATAGGGAGGTACTGATATGTGGGGCCTATACGAAGACGTAGACCTGCACAGACAATCTTCTGTCGTACGCTGTAGTATCCATTTCGTATTTGAAATACCAAATTTGAAACAATGAATAATGTCGCTAAAATCATCAAAATACCCAATATCAGGAGGTACCTTTATGTGGGGCCTATACGAAGACGTGGACCTGCACAGACAATTTTCTGTCTTAGCCTGTAGAATCCAGTACGAATTTCAAATACCAAATTTGAAACAATTCCGGTGAATAATGTCGCTGAAATCGTCAAAATACCGATTATTGGGAGGTACCGTTAATGTCGGAAATAGCATCAAATTTTAGAATAAGTTCAGATTTGTTCGAATTGGTCACCTTTGGCACGAATTATTGCCTTCAAAAGGCCAATGAAACCGTCACACGCTGCCCGAATGCGGTATTTTGCCCCATTCCCGGCGAAACGCTTGCTTGAGGTGATCGACACTTTGGTATTTTTTAGTGCCATCCTTGCTTTCCAAAATACACCAGGCACAATAGTCCGACGTATTGGTATCCGGAGATTTTGGTGGCCATTGTGCGCTGGAAATGAAGCGAGTAACCTCATTTTGTAACCATTCTTGTATGGCGCGTGCTGAGTGCGATGGTGCTGAGTCCTGTTGGAATGTTCAAGGTCTGCGGCCAAAATGTTTGCCCAAGGCTTTAATATATCCTCCAGAATATTTTCGTGATAATATTCGGCATTTTTTCTGATGCCACGGTCGATTAATACGAGCGGGGAGCCGACCATCGTCTATTGTAGCGGCCCACACTATCACCATTGCCGGCGCTTGAGTTCTGGTAGCAAACCGAAGTTCTTGAACTTTTTGAAATTTAAATGGCTTTTCCGCGAGCTCATTTTTCAACATTTGCCGAATGAAATATTGCGATATGTTCAGCTCACGAGCCATTTTTCGGCCACTGCGACGCGGGTTTCGATCAAGTCGCTTCTTTACTTTTCGAACCATTTCTGCTGATGTTGCTGTTTTCTTCCGTCCACTTCCTTGATGCTACGGATACGCTACCAGTATCATGAGTACGAGCGATGGTATGAGACACAAAAGATTTATTCACATTTAAATGCTGGAGTGCTCTAACGATAGCCACTTGTGGTTTTCCTGCCAAATATAAAGAAATCACACTATCACGCTTGAATTCCTGCACGAAAAACTTCTTCTTTTCTGGAAAATTCTCACGAAAATGCTTTTGTACGCTTGTAAACAATAGAATGAGCTATCACTGGAATAATATTAACAGCTGTCGGACGAGTGGCTTAGAAATGACAGCAATCTGAAATTGGTTGCAGTTTATTCATCTCACCCTGTATATCCAATTTTATGGGAAATCATAAATTCCGTATTCATCTCAGGTTTCTGGGTGAGAGAAATTTTTAGAAATAGCAAGTTAAAATAATCGCTGACGTCTTTCACAAGTTATGACAGATACAAGTATTGCAACTTTGTGACCCTTTGTGGGGGAGATATCAGAAGGGGTTGACAGATATAAATCATCCTCACAACAGATCATGTGTTAGCAAAAATATTTGGATGTGTGAAATTTTAAGAGATTTGGATGCTTATTTCGTTTTCTTTGAGGGTTTTTTTTTTAATCTTGATCCCTATGTGGCGGACGTAACAGAAGAAATGGTTCGCTCTGTACCATCTTTACAACAGATATTGTGTTGATGGAAATGTTGGGATGTACCAGTCTAAACGGAATCGGATGTTAATTTAAATTTTATGAGCTTCGTGGATACTCAAAATGTTGACCTTTTGTGGGGGAGGTACCAGAAGGAGTCGACCGATATATCTCATCTTCACAGCAGATCTTGTGTAAGTACAAATAATGGGATGTGTGAACTATGAAGAGAAGCGGATGCTTATTTCGGATTTTATGCTCGTTTTGGTTATTTAAAACTTTGGCACTTTGTGGGGGAGGTACTAGAAGGAATGGTCCGATCTTTACCGACTTTATAACAGATCTTGTGTTGATTTAAATATTGAGGTGTGGCAAGTCTCAATCGTTAAATCGTTAAAATCGGACGTTATTTTCGTGTTTTATGAGCTTCAAGGATATTCAAAATTTTGACCCTTTGTGGGAGAGGTACAAGAAGGAGTGTACCGATATTCACAACAGACCCTGGGTTAATAAAAATATTGTGATGTGCGTAATTTGGAGACAATCGGACACTTACATCACATTTTATAAGAGTTAGAATTATTCAAAATTTTGAACTTTTGTGGAGGAGGTACTTGATGGAGTAGACCGAATTTTCGCACCTAAAATAGCACTGATGGAAATATTAGGATATGCAAAGTTGGAGCAAAATCAGATTATCCTTTTTTGTCTGTGCAGTAAATTACTTTCTTTGAAAATGTTGACATTTTGTAGGGGAGGTTCCAGAAGGAATGGACCGATATTGCCCATATCCGAACTCGATTTAAGTTTGATAATAATATTACAATGTACCAAGTTTGGATCAAATCGGATACTCACTTCGAAAATTGTCGTGCGCCCTAACCAGCCAGACAGACGGAGGGACATCGCTAGATCAACTCCAAATGTCCTGAAACGAATTTTGTCTAAAGAGTCCTTGGGTCTAAAAACGTTATTTCGATGAGACTCGTTTTGGGCGTATCAAATGATATATACCCTCTGTAGCCATATGGCTGAGG